CAAGAGATCTTTGGTTACCAATTCATTAAAGTTTCCTGGAATTGGACTGGTCAGATTTTCTGTTACTTTCTTTTTCAGTTTTGGAAAATTGTAGATTTCTAGGAATTTAACCATTTCTTCTAATTTGTCCAATTTGTTAGTGTTTATTTTTTCATTGGGGCCTACTGTAATCCTTTTTATTTCTGTGGCATTCGTTTCTATTCTTCCTCTTTCTTTTCTAATATCATTGATTTGGGTCATCTCTCACTTTTTTAAGTTCCTAAATGTTTATTAATATTGTTTAGCTTTTCAAAGACACTGATCTTGGGCACCTGGCTGGCTCAGTTGGTTGAGTGACAGCCTTTGGCTCAGGTCATGATCCTGGAGTTCCAGGATCGAGTCCTGCATCGGGCTCCCTGCTCAGCAGGGAGTCTGCTTCTCCCTCTGACCCTCCCCCCTCTCATGTGCTCTCCCTCTCAAATAAATAAATAAAGTCTTTAAAAAAAAAGACACTGATCTTGGTTTCATTGATCTTTTCTATTTATCTGTCTCTATTTTATTTATTTCTACTCTGATTTTTATTATTTTCTTCCTTCCAATAACTTTGTTTCTTCTTCTTTTTCTAGTTCTTTTAGGTGAAGGTTTAGATTGTTTATTAGAGATTTCTTGATTCTTGGTGTAAGCATCTGTAACTATAAATTTCCCTCTTAGAACTCCTTCGGAGAGTTTTGTTTTGTTTTGTTTTGTTTTTTTCATTTGTCTCCATGTATCTTATTTCCTCTTTGATTTCTTTGCTGGCCCATTTGTTATGTAGTAACATGTTGTTTAGCCTCCTCATGCTTGTGTTTTTTCCAGTTTTTCTTGCAAATGATTTTTAGTTTCTTACTGTTTTGGTTGGAAAAATGCTTAATATGATTGCAATCTTCTTACATTTATTGAGAGGTTTGTTGTTTTGGTTTGGTGTGGTTATTTTTGGCTTTAAATGTCATCTATCCTGGAGAATGTTCTTTGTGCACTTGAAAAGAATGTTTGTTCTGTTAGTTTTCGGTAGAATGTTATGCATAAATCTGGTAAGTCCATTGGGTTTAATGTGCCAGTCAAAGACATTGATTATTCGTGGATTTTCTGTCTGTCTGATCTATCCATTGAGGTAAGTGAGGTACTAAGTTCCTCTACTATTATTGTATTACTAGCGATGTCTCCATTTATATTTAGTAATATTTGGTTTATATATTTAGGTGCTCCAATATTGAATGCATCAATATTTATAATTCTTATATCCTCTTTTTAGATTCCATCCTTTTATCATTATGTACTGCCCTTCTTTGTCTCTTGCTATAGTCTTTGTTTTAATGTCTATTTTGTATGATATAAGTATTGCTACCCCATTTTTTCTTTCACTTCCATTTGCATGGTAAATGCCTTTTCATACCCTCACTTTTAATCTTTACATGTCTTTAGGTCTAAAGCAAGTCTCCTGTAGGTAGCATAAAAAGTGTCTTTTTTTAAAATCCATTCCATCATCCTACAACTTATGGTTGAAATTTTTTGAAAATTTCTATTTAAAATAATTATTGATAGGTACATATTTATTGTCATTTTGTTATTTGTTTTCTGTTTGATTTATAATCCTTCTTAGTTTCTTCCCTTGCTCTCTTTCTTCATGTTTGATTGCTGTCTTTAATGTTATTTTTTGGCTATTTCTTTATATTTTGTGTATCTATTATAAGTTTATGGTTTGTGTTACCATGAGGCTAATACATAACATATTAAGTATATAGCAGTTAAATAAGTGATTATCACTTAAGTTCAAATACATTTTAAAAGAACCTCATTTTTCTTCACACCCTCTATCTTTTTATATATGTTGTCATATTCTACATCTTTTTCATTTTGTGAGTCCCCTTGACGAATTTTTTTAGATATAAGAAATCAGAGAGGGAGACAAACCATGAGAGACTCTGGAATCTGCAGGAAAAAATGAGGGTTACAGAGGGGAGGGGAGTGGGGATGGGATAAATGGGTGATGGTATTAAGGAGGGCGCATGTTGTGATGAGTACTGGATGTTATATGCAACTAATGAATCTTTGAACACTACATCAAAAAACAGATATAATTGGTATAATACTTTTGTGTTTTAACCTTTGTACTAGCTTTATAAGGATTGCTCTATTACCTTTGCTGTGTTTGTTTTTACTTATTTTATTTTTCCCTTTACAATTTTTTTCCTTCCAATTGTGGCCTTTTTTTTTTTTTTTTTTACTTAAAAGTCCCTCTAACACTTCTTGTAAGGACGGTAAGTGGGGATGAACTTCTTTAACTTTTATTTGTCTGGAATTTTTTTTTTAATATGTTCAGTTAGCCACTGTATAGTACATCATTAGTTTTTGATGTAATGTTAAGTGATTCATTAGTTGCATATATCATGGAAGGTTTTTTTAAAGGTATTGCAGTTAGGTAATGGAAACCTGATGTGACGGGGCGCCTGGGTGGCTCAGTTGGTTAAAAGACTGCCTTCAGCTCAGGTCATGATCCTGGAGTCCCGGGATCGAGCCCCACATCGGGCTCCCTGCTCAGCAGGGAGTCTGCTTCTCCCTCTGACCCTCCCCCCTCTCATGTGTGCTCTCTCTCTCATTCTCTCTCTTTCAAATAAATAAATAAAATCTTTCAAAAAAAAGGAAATCTGTTGTGATATTTTCCTCTCTCTTTTTAAAAATATATTAACACATATTATTTTTGTAACAAATGATGTTTTTAATTAAAGACAAAGAAAATAATCCTTGTCAATGTCAGCAGCAATGCCTCTGGTGACCCTTCCTGCTCTCTTGAAGCACCTTGATTCTAGAATGGTGTTTGAATTGGCAGGCTGCTTGCCTTTGCTTCTGTGGGTGGAGACTGTCATACTCATCACAGTGAAAATATATCTTGGTCTGAAGAATACCCTCAATAAAAATGTACAGGATAAGTAGGAAATTTTGGCAATTAAATTAAGAATGTCATGAATAAAATGTAATAAATGTTGCTTGCAGACATGTCAGATAAATTAAATACCAGTTGCTGAAAGCAAAATTTTGGATATATTTTTTTTCACATTATCTCATTTATCCATCATGTTATACATAACAGTCATACTAATTTAAGTTACTTTCTTGATATCACACAGATCACACCTGGTAGATATAATTTTGTTATAGTTTGAGAAAACTCTGTTCATATTTTGAACCATCTTTAGCTGATTGCCAGGATACTCTAGTTTAAAATAGTATTATCAAAAAAAAAAATATTATTATCTATGACATCATTGCTATTTCTTTAACTGCATGACATTTCTATATAAATATTTATATCATTTAAAACTCTATGCCATAATTTGAATGTAAATTTCTTCCTCAGTTTACATGACTGTGATTTCTATTGTGGTATCTATATTCTTCTGCTAACACACCTAAAAAACATTAAATGATAAATCTTGAGTACATTATAAAATTCAATGGGAAAAAATGATACATAATTACTGTTACAATTTTCTTAGGATGGTGTTTTGTTCTCTGCATTAAATAAAATAACCATTTTGATGAAGGTGAATGCATGATATGCATGCATGTTAATGGTAGACCATATTTAAAATAAATTAACTTTATTTTCTAGTAAATGCAGAACTTTTGCAAAGGAAAGAATTCTGTTAACTGGATGCTAAATATTCTTAACTCACATATCAATCACAAGTACATATTGAACACTCTATTGTACACATATTAAACATTATATACTCAGTAATGTATCTGACAAAGCTCATCTCAATAAAAATTCTAATTTATTTTTATTTTTTATTTAATACATTTTTATATTGCAATATGATGACCAAATTAATATTAGCTAATACCTGTCACATCAATATCACATCACATAATTATCATTTCTTTTTTGTGGCAAGGGCATTTAATATCTAGTCCCTTAACAACCTGGAGGTAGTTCCTTACAACATTAATAAAATAAAATAATTGCTTATTTGCCTTATATTTTTATTGAAATATAATTGCCATATTACATTATGTATGTTTAAGGTGTACAACATGTTGATTTGGTACATTTATGTATTGCAATACAATTACCATCATAGCATCAGCTAACACCTCCATAATGTTTATAGTTATAATTCATTTGTTGAGTGAGAACAATTAAGATCTATCATCTCAGCAACTTCAACTCAGCATTTCAGTTTATAATACTGAAATGTTGGCTACAATCACTGTACTGTGCAAAAGACTTGGTTGTGAGTTTTTACACTTTGACCAACATCTCTGATTCCCCCCATCCCTAGTCTCTGGTAATCAACATTCTTTTCTCTGTTTCTATGACTTCAGTAGTTATTTTTTAAAATTTCACATATGTGATATCACACTGCATTTTTATTTCTCTTTCTGACTTACCTCACTTAGTATAATGCCTTCACATTTCATTTCCATACATGTGGTCACAGTGTCATTTCCTTTTTTTCTATAGCTAAATAATAAACATTATATACGATATATATAAAATAATATAACATATAATATAAGATATACTATATAAGATATACTATATATAATATATAATGATGTTTCAATTGGCAGGCCACTTGTCAATGCCTTTGTGGGTAGAGAGACTGTCATATTTATCACAATGAAAATAGATCTTAGTCTGAAGAAGACCCTCAATAAAAATGTGCTAGATAAGTAGGAATTTTTTTGCATTTAAATTAGGGATGTTATGAATAAAATGTAATAAATGTTCCTCGTGGAGATATATATAGTGTTGGTCATCTTTTTACGTGCCTGTTGTTCTTTAGGGCATTTGCACGTCTTCTATGGAAAAATGTTTACGCATTTCCACTGCCCATTCTTTAATCAGATTGTTTGCTTTTTGCTATTGAGTTGTATATGTTCTTTATATATTTTGGATATTAACTCTTTTATCATGATTTGCAAATATTTTCTCCCACTCGGAATGATGTCATTTCATTTGTTGATTTTTCTCACAGTTCTAGAAGCTGGGAAACCCAAGGTCAAGGCATTAGCAGATCTGGTGTCTGAGAGTCCACTTCCTGGTTTGCAGATGGCCCTGTTCTCACTCTGTTCTCACATGGCAGAAAGCTGAGAACAAGAACAAGTGCTCATGTTTCTTCCTATAAGAGCACTAATCCTATTCATGAGGGCTCCACTGTCATCACCAAATTACTTTTCAAAACCTCCATCCTAATATTACATTGGGGATTAAGAATTTAACATATCATTTTGTAGAAAAAAAATTAGTCCATAACATGACATTAAAGGCATGGTAGTCAAATACTTTCTTGGTGACATATTTTTAAAAAATAACACCTAGTAAAATGGTTACAGAATTTCATACTCATGAAATTGTTAGGAAATACCTAAACACTACAATAATATGGAATGTGATCATGAAAGAGTCTTGAAGCTTACATGTGGGTCCAGGTACCTTCCCTACTTCCACCTCCATGCCCAACAACTTGTGCAAAGGAAGATAATAAAATAAATAGACAATTGAGAGAAACCAGAAACAAAGAGAGAGAAAGAGCAGCAAAGAAATATGGATAAAAAACAAAGAAAGGAAGGGCATGGAGCTGTGCACCATTGGTGAGGGTGGTGGCTTATAGTCCCTGTGAAGTGGCAGTGTGGGAAGTTGCAGTAACAATTGTGGATGGGTTTATGTCATTGTCCTTCTGAGATGTGTGCCTATATGTGTTTGTATTTGTGTGTGTGTGTTTATATATTTTATGTATATCTACACCTCTAGATTCAACAGGGTACAAGTTTCCATAGCACAAAATCACATATAGAAAATGCAAAATTCACAATGTACTCAAATTCTTTCCTAATATGTTAATCAAATTACAACAAATTTACATTTTCAAAACAATCATTATAGCAGAACTAAGTGCATTTAGTTTTTAATTCTTCAGGGGCAGAGAAACAGAAATTATATCCAAACCTCACGGGTGCTTTCAGTGCTGGGTTCTTAAATTTATGATTTTTGGTGAAGGCAGCCTGCAGGAGTCCATGTGCTTAATGCAAACACCTAGGAGTCTATTTCTCTTTCAAATTTCTCTCAAATTTTCATCAAAATTTGTATTATGATACTTTGAATTATGTTAAAGCAAAGCCAACCAAAAGGCTTTAAACCATTATTTTCCAAATATGTAACTTAAATCCAGCCATAGTCTTTTTTTTTTTGCCCAAATGATTTACATGTGTAAACATTAGAAAGTCTAGTTAACAACTCCTAGCCAACTTCTCACAAGGATTTTTCACTGTTTTGCTTTTCAGGAAAGCTTCATGCAGAACTTGGTAAGTAATATTTCTCTGGGAGGATAAAATAGTAAATGTATTTCAAAGCAAACTCTCACTACATCCTATTCTTTCAGAAAGGATAAAACTCCTGGGAAAAGAAGGTGAGTAATGAAGATGGCCAGCTCTAGCCCTGACCTATGCACCTGCCTTTTGACTGCACATCATTGTCGTTTTACTCACTGCTAAATCTTGGTTTCAAAACTATAATTTTCTTTTCCTTTTTTTTTTAATTTTAGGGTTGCAATTTGCTCGACAACATGCAGGTAATTAGAGGCTGAAGTACTTGGATATGGATGGTTATTTTTAGCCAGCACACTGGGCCACCAGAGAAGAGAAACTGTAACACACTCACAAACTCATACAGAACACACACACACACTCACACACATTTTTTTTTGCCAAAACTCCCACTTTATTGTGCTTATTGTTCAGTAGTTTATAGCTATAGCTCCTTATATATCACAAATGATGCTGCTCTCTGAGATTCATTGATGGAGGGAAGCAGAATATTATAACCCAAAATGATACCATCAACATGCTTTTCAGAACCAGAAATGAGTTGAGGGATGGTTATAGGGGGTAGCTGACAGGGAATGGGGTAAAGGTAAGCTGCCACTTACCTATATTAGGATGAGGGCTAGTGACACAATGACACTAACTGCCTATGGATCAAAATCCATGGACCTTCATTTGATATGTCAAATTGAAAACCACTTTCTCCCTCAGGGCATCTTTTGACTGCTAATTGTCAAATTTATGACTTGGTTTAATATTGGGAACAATAGCAATTTATGTTACATTTTACAGCTTTGTATTAATTAGTTCAAATGAAGTATCTTCATTTGATTCCCACAAGAAGTCAGGTATTAATATACTGTTTTATAAAGAAATATATGATGAGTATTCATAGTATTATTCATAGTAATATATGATAGTATTCATAGATTTCTCTGGTTTATATAACTAATTAACATAATATTCACATTCACTAGACAACTTTACAAGAACTTTTGCCAGTTGAATAAAATAGTGTATATATCAGATATTACTTTGACAAAAATGTCTATGAGCAAATGAGTTGCAGCAGTTTTAAGGGAACATATTCCCAAATTTACAGTGCTAACATATGAGTCTTCAAGTTATTGAATATTACTTTAATACTAGCAGAATTTCCTTTGTGGTTTTAACTACACAAGTAAAATTTAGTTTTACCTACAACTATTAATTCATAGGAGAAATACTTATAGCCTATATTAGCAGAATCCTGTGTAACTAAGTAGATATCTAGGTGATTATTATCTCAGGCTTGTGTGTTATATGTTTCCAATATTTAAACAATTTTTTTGGATTCATGTATCTGTGAAAATTTTTACCTATATAAAGGCACATATAGAAAAATTATTTTCAGTAAATATAGTTACATTTCATTAGATAATAAAGAGTTCATTAGAGCAGAGTTTGAATTGTCAAAACATTCAGATTTAAAGTAAATATATATAATTAATTTTTCATTAATTCATAAATTGAATTAGATAGCTATGGACTTGAATCCAAACGTTGATGGATATTAGTAATCCTAGTTGGACAAATTTCTCTAAATCTTTGTTGTCTCAGCGACATAAAAACATTTCTCCATTTTATTTCTTTGTTTTGAAAACTCAGTATTTATAAATGTGCTTCAAACAGCACTAGGCACATAATGTGTCCAATGTAATATTGCCATTTGCAAAAAAATATTTGGACTACAAAAAAATATGTATATTTAAGTACTCATTTATTTCCCATTCTGAACAAATTAACAAGTTCTCAAGTGTGTGAGTTGATAGAGGTGGTAGAAAAAAGACTTAAGGGAAAGGAGCAGCTTCATTTGAGGAAAGCTAAAAAAAGTTCCTAGACAGAAGAAGGGCACTTGTACATTGTCTTAATTATTGTGGATTATTATTGATCACAGCCAAGACTGACAACATGTTCTTCCATAGAAAATGTTACCCTGGATCCCGAGACAGCTCATCCATATCTTGAAGTTGCCAAAGACAAGAAAAGTGTGAAATCCATTGGTTATTTTCAGGAACTACCCAAAAGTAGTAATCGGTTTGATTCCCTAGTCTCTGTATTAGGTCAGCAAATTTTTTCCACAGGTAAACACTACTGGGAAGTGGATGTGAAAAATAAAATGAAATGGACTGTAGGCATTTGTAAACATTCTGTCCTCAAACAAGGAGAAATCATAGTGTCCCCAGAGACTGGGTTCTGGACACTGTGCTTAAAAAAATGTAATGACTACCAAGCTCTTACAAATCCACGGATAACACTCCACCTTGAGGAACCTCCTGAGATAATTGGAATCTTCCTGGACTATGAGGCTGGGAGGCTCTCATTTTATAATGTGACCCACCTGACTCACATCTACACCTACAAACAAAAGTTCACGGAGGCCTTACAACCATACTTTTATCCTGGTCCCCTCTACAATGGTCAAAATGAACAACCTCTGACCATCATACATTAAGGTGTACAAACAAGCCACAGGAAGAAGATGTTGCATGTGACTGAGGAAGAAATGTCTTATTCTGAATCTGTTGAAACTGGAAGATATATATTAGAATACTGGATTTCCTCCTTCAAATAAATCTAAACACCAATGCCATAAAGTATACATTTCTTTATCATTTCAGTCCCAAATATGTACTTTTGTTAATGGACAAGAATAATTTGATTGGAATTGTATGCTGTAGAATTTACTTGATTACAATTCAAGGCACATAACATAAATAAAATATCTAAAAGATGTATCTACTTGTGGAAGTGGTGAAGGAAAATTAATTCAAGAAATAATGATGTGCAGTAAGAGTGGGCCTGGGTGAGAAAGTAGAAGACCTATGGGACACAGATTAAGTTGAAACAAAATGGTTTTAAATGAAGTTGCAGAGGTAAGTAGCTGAAGTCACATGACAAGCTGAGCTGAAATGGATTTTCTTTGTGCCACTAACAGACCATTTGGGCATATTATAATAAAATATTTAATATTAAAATTAAAATGAAATCATTGAACAAAATAATAATAATAACAATAACAGTAATAATAATACTAAGTGAACTATTCCAAATGAATATCAAACCCATCATCATAGGCCATTTTAAAGGAGGTGGCCTAAATCTGGTTACAGGAATCTACCTGCTCATGGGCATGGAATATTTAATAGAGTCAAGAGAGTATATGGAGGTTTTGGAAAATATCTGTAGGTGTGTTCTGAGTTACTGTCCCAGAAGACTGGGAGATGGTATGCTTGCTTATGCCTCACTTAAAACATATGGGAAAAGAGGTTAGTTAGTCTGTTTCATGAAATCTAAAGAACACAGTGGACCTATGTTTGCCTTCTCCCTGGGATGTTGAGGGTGAGAGAAGGGCCACTGGCTACTCTGTAGTGTGATGGAGGAGTGCTGTATTGCATGACCTGTGCACTGAGAGCTTTTCAGGGTGAAGATCTCATGATTCCTGAAGGCTAGAATATGGTCCATGAGCAAGAACTCCTCTGGGATGCTGTCTGCATAAGAGAATACATATTAGTGGAAATTAGATTATGTACCATAGGATGCCTGGTGGTTGAGAAAGGAATCTTGACAAGCCAAAATACAGACATGTTTTACCCTCCTCAAGTTAACAGCAGGAAAAAGGTCCCCAGCTATTTCAAGGCCTTTGAAAAACTAATGAGGGAAAAGTGACCTTGAAATGCCTCTAAACACAGCTCATTACAATGATCAAGTAAAAACTCTCACTCCTTTATAAAAAATAACAATAAAAATAAATAGTAATAATGTAAATAAATATAGTTCATTAAAACAATAATTAAATAAAAATGTTCTCATTCCTGTCACCTCTAATATCTCTTCACTCAGACACTCCACAGTTCTCTACAACGTGTGTTTTCCCTTATTGCAGTGAGAAATATACCCGACGCATTTAACTACAGATGTTTTACTGGTAGCCTTTAGCTAGAGGGCATAGATAAATGCTAAGGAGAAGAGGCACCTAGTATACTGAAGTGTCTTTCCTCTAGCATTAAACTGGTTTGTAGAATACAATTTAGAAAATGTGGGAAAATTAGGGCAAGTGGGAAATTCATGACAAAAATAATTTGCCAAAATTAATTATTCCAGTTTTACAAGACAGAATACAAGCTCATTTTGCTGAAATGCCTGAAACTCTGCTTTAATTAAAACTAAGAAAATCAGGGTGCCTGGGTGGCTCAGTCGTTAAGCGCCTGCCTTCAGCTCAGGTCATGATCCCAGGGACCTGGGATCGAGCCCCGCATCGGGCTCCCTGCTCCGCGGGAAGCCTGCTTCTCCCTCTCCCATTCCCCCTGCTTGTGTTCCCTCTCTCGCTGTCTCTTTCTCTGTCAAAAAATAAATAAAAATCTTAGAAAATAAAACTAAGAAAATCAGGAGGGGTTAAGATGGCGGAGGAGTAGGGGAACCCTAAGCTTGCCCCATCACTCACACACAGCTAGATAAATGTCAAATCATTCTATGATGAAATTCCCATGAAATTGACCTGAGGACTGAGAGAACAACTTGCATATTTGTAGGGAGAAAAAGGGCCACTTCACGGAAAGTAGGAGCTTCAGAGTTTTGACTTGAGGGAGACAAGGATTGTGGCTGCTATAGAAGGGAGGGAGCCCTTATCCCAGAGAGAGGAATGAGAGAGAAAGAGAGACATGAAAGCAGCAGGCAGGGGATTACACAAGAAAACCCAGCAGGCAGGCGATTACACAAGAAAAAATGAGGGGCTGACTACTGCAAGTTATTATAACAGCAGAGTACAAAGTCTGGTTTTAAAGGTCCGTATCATCACCAGGGTCATGCTTGCAGGCTTAGCAGTGCTCCTGTGGGGAAGGAAGGTGGAGACCCAGGAGTGGGCAGCTTGGTCTGAGGATCCCCTAGGTCACACAGGGAGAAGAAGTTCCCCTTCTTGGGGGTGCATTAAGGAGTGGTGGCATAGCCTCTCCTGGGACAAAATAACTGGTGGGGCCAATATGATGACCTTTTCATTAGCATAGGAACAGAGATACTGGCTGAGGGCACAAACCTTGGTGCCAGCATTTTGCTGTGCTTCACAATAAACTCCAAACCACTGTGCAGTCATGTGGCGACAATTCTGGGACAAAATTGCAAATAACAAAAATACAGTGACACCCTACACCACGGATCAGCATGACTCCACCCCATGGGGTTTGTTTGGAGTTTTGAAACCCAGCCACCTGCCTGAGATAAAACACAGGAGTAATGTGCTGCCTTGCAGGTAGACAGCTCAGACACAGAGTGAATGCAGGGATTTGATAAAGCTGGTGACAAAAGAGGGGTGATTGTTTACTTTTCTGTGAGGGCTTCCTGAAGAGGGGTGGGTGCAAACTTCCTGCTCCAGATACAAGAGGGCAGAGTGATACCATTTCCCCTTGCCTATCAGAAATAACCACTTCAGTGAGCAACACAGTACCCCCCAGGGGAGACTGGAACAACATATGCCAAGGCCCACCCCATGTGCCCTTCAGGAACATCCATACTAGTACATGTCTGCTTGAGAATCAGTACATCAGGCCCTTCCAGAAAATCAGCACAAATCCCTTGCACACACTAAGACTACTGATCATAGAATGCTACATAGCTTCCACTCTAGAGGAAATATAATCTAGCTTCTTCCTTTTTTTTTTCTTTAGATTTGTTTTCTTTTAACAAGCAGACCAAAACATACCTACTTAAAACTTGACACGCAGTGGAAGAAGAGGTCTAAACACCCCCAAGTGTAGGGAATGAGAAATTACACAGGACTCACGTGATGGTAGGAATAGCCAAAATATTACAGCAGACTGCATATAGGACACCTTCCCCCAACACACTCCTTTTTTTGACATCTTCCTTTTTTTTTAATAATTTTTTTATTGTTATGTTAACCACCATACATTACATCATTAGTTTTTGATGCAGTGTTCCATGATTCATTGTTTGTGCATAATACCCAGTGCTCCACGCAGAATGTGCCCTCTTTAATACCCATCACCAGGCCAACCCATCCCCCCACCTCCCTCCCCTCTAGAACCCTCAGTTTGTTTTTCAGAGTCCATCGTCTCTAATGGTTCGTTTTGACATCTTCTTAATATAGCCATTACTCTCAGGAGCAGGAATATAACAGGCCTTCATAACAATCACACACACACAGAAAACAGCGACCTAGAAAAAATGACAAGGTGGAGGAATTCAGCCAAAGGAAAGAACAGGGAGAAGTAAAGCCAGGGATTTAACCAATACAGATATAAGTAAGATGTCTGAAACATAGTTTTAGACAGGAATTATAAGGATATGAGCTGGGTTTGAAAATAGCATAGAAGACAATAGAGAATCAGTTACCACAGAGAAAACAATCTGTCAGACCAAAAATAAAAATGCTATAACCGAGATACAAACCCAAACGGATGCCATGAAAATGAGGATGGATAAAGCAGGGGAATGAATCAGTAATATAGAAGATAAAATTATGGAAAATAATAAAGCACAAAAAAAGAGGGAAAGAAAGGTAATGGATCATGATTGTAGATTGACTCCTTAAGAATAATGACATTGTATTATAAGTGCCACAGAAGAAGAAGAGAAAAAGGGGAAGCAGATTTATTTGAGCAAATTATAGCTGGAAACTTCCCCGATCTGGGGAAGGAAACAAACATCAAAATCCAAAAAGGACAGGGCGCCTGGGTGGCTCAGTTGGTTAGGCGACTGCCTTCGGCTCAGGTCATGATCCTGGAGTCCCAGGATTGAGTCCCACATCGGGCTCCCTGCTCAGCAGGGAGTCTGCTTCTCCCTCTGACCCTCTCCCCTCTCATGCTCTCTCTCTATCTCATTCTCTCTCTCAAATAAATAAATAAAAAACCTTGAAAAAAAAATCCAAGAAGGACAGGGTACTCCCATTAAATTTAACAAATGCTGGCCATCACCAAAACATATTACAGTCAAGTTCACAAAATACTCAGACAAGAAAAGAATTCTGAAAGCAGCAAGGGGGAAAAAAAGTCCTTAACGTACAAGGGAAGACAGATCAGGTTCACAACAGATCTGTCCACAGAAACTTGGCAGGCCAGAAGAAAGTGGAATGATATATTCAACATGTCAAATGGGGGAATATACAGCCATGAATACATTATCCACAAATGCTGTCATGCAGAAGAGGAGAAATAGAGTTTCCCTAGACAAAAAAACAAACCAACAAACAAATAAAGTAGTCCATGACCACTAAAGCAGCCCTGTAAGAAATATAAAAGGGGACTCTTTGAGTGGGGTAAAAAGACCAAAAGCAACAAAAACTAGAAAGGAACAGAAAACATCAGAAGGGACACCAAATGGAGAAAGATGGCAGAGGAGTAGGAGACCCTATTTCAACCGGTCCCCTGAATTGAGCTGGATATCTACCAGACCATTCTGAACACCCATAAAATCAGCCTGAGATGTAAGAAGATATATCTG